TGGGAGTTGAAGTCCACTCATCTTAAAGTGGCCAAGTTTGGACAACACTGGTCTATGTTTTAACTGGTTTTAATTAATATTAGATTTTGTAACCCGTCCGCAGTTTGAGCGGATGGCTATAATACATACAGTGGGGCAAAAAAGTATTTAGTCAGCCACCAATTGTGCAAGTTCTCCCACTTAAAAAGATGAGAGAGGCCTGTAATTTTCATCATAGGGGTATACCTATGATGAAAATTACAGGCCTCTCTCATCTTTTTGGTATACCTATGATGAAAATTACAGGCCTCTCTCATCTTTTTGGTATACCTATGATGAAAATTACAGGCCTCTCTCATCTTTTTGGTATACCTATGATGAAAATTACAGGCCTCTCTCATCTTTTTGGTATACCTATGATGAAAATTACAGGCCTCTCTCATCTTTTTGGTATACCTATGATGAAAATTACAGGCCTCTCTCATCTTTTTGGTATACCTATGATGAAAATTACAGGCCTCTCTCATCTTTTTGGTATACCTATGATGAAAATTACAGGCCTCTCTCATCTTTTTGGTATACCTATGATGAAAATTACAGGCCTCTCTCATCTTTTTGGTATACCTATGATGAAAATTACAGGCCTCTCTCATCTTTTTGGTATACCTATGATGAAAATTACAGGCCTCTCTCATCTTTTTGGTATACCTATGATGAAAATTACAGGCCTCTCTCATCTTTTTGGTATACCTATGATGAAAATTACAGGCCTCTCTCATCTTTTTGGTATACCTATGATGAAAATTACAGGCCTCTCTCATCTTTTTGGTATACCTATGATGAAAATTACAGGCCTCTCTCATCTTTTTGGTATACCTATGATGAAAATTACAGGCCTCTCTCATCTTTTTGGTATACCTATGATGAAAATTACAGGCCTCTCTCATCTTTTTGGTATACCTATGATGAAAATTACAGGCCTCTCTCATCTTTTTGGTATACCTATGATGAAAATTACAGGCCTCTCTCATCTTTTTGGTATACCTATGATGAAAATTACAGGCCTCTCTCATCTTTTTAAGTGGGAGAACCTGCACAATTGGTGGCTGACTAAATACTTTTTTGCCCCACTGTATGTTTTTATTTTATTTAGTTATTTAGTTAATCATTCCATTTATATGGCTGCCCATCTCAGATCCATGACTCTGGGTCGGTAACAGCAGTTAAAAACACCATACGACAGCACGCAACAATCATACATGTGTAACTGGCAGCCGAGGTGAAACCACAGCAAACACATCAGCACAGCCATTTCATGTTAGGAGTGTCTGTGCTGAGGTGCCTGGCCCACCCCCACCCCCACTCCAAAGCCCCTTTGCTGTGCTGGATCCGAAGCCGGGCACGTCCGCAATTCAATGCCACCTGCAGACCCTTACCTGGAGACATGGAGGAAGGGTTGTAAGGCCTGGTTGGGAAGGCCAGCTGAGTCCCGGGGATGTACGTGATTCTCTCCATTGGGGGTGTGCTCGGCCCTCCGGGATGTGGCACCAAGATGGTAGGAGCCATGCTGTTCAGGTCGATGATTCCTTATTAAAAGAGGAATGAAGAAAAGCTAACACAGCAAGACCAAAAGAGTCGTGGATCTGTTCCTGCCGCCTCCGCGCTTGCAAACTCTTTGCAGCCATCTTCCTTGACCCAGCATCCACTCCAGCCATGTGGTACTACAACACTCATCATTTCAGGCCATCCAGTTTGTCATGACTAACGAGGACAGTGATACAGATGGGATCCTGACTGTTTGGGGTCTCCATATCATGTCCCCTCGAAGGAATGGCTTTGCTTCTCACCTTGAGAGAATCCAGAGCCCTCAAGGATGGTCCTTGGGGGAAAGCCAACAAGAAGGCAGGCAGGGTGGTTAAGGAGGAGGAGTCTTACAAAACTAAACATATACTGTAATGGTATGTGGGAATGACCTTGGGATGCAGCGGGAAGAGCCACAGCCACGGGAAGTGGGCATGGCAAATGTTTAAGAAGGGACCTTGAAGTTAGCCTTACGAGGTAGACCGGACAGGAAACATGACCAGATAAACTAATTCTACTTTATTGTAAGGCTACATTAACAGAATCTTGCAAGTCTGAAAGTACAATTCTCCCCCGTCTTTACAGCCCGAGAAACTAGGGAGGGTTCTTTCTGAGCTTCTTGCTCCACCCACTGTGGACTATGCTGTCTCTTACCTGACCCTTCCCTAGGCAGCATCTCTTTTCCCACCTCCCAAGGTCTTTCCCACATACCATTACATCCATCGCCTTTACAGCCCAAGAAACTAGGAAGGGTCCCTTCTGAGACATTTACCACGCCCACATTCCTGCTGCGGGCTCAGCTGCCTCTTATCTGACTGTTCCCCTGGCTGTGGCTCTTCCCTCTGTCTCCCAAGGTCATTCCCACATACTGTTACACATACAGATCAGGGGAGAAGTTTTCACAGACTGGACTCCTATCCTTCACTGACAGAGTGGACTGAGTACAGAAGAAGGCAAACATTTTGAGTGGGGGCCCTAGGATGCAGTGGGAGGAACAGTAATGCAAACCAGGTGGGGTTGAGGTTCTGGGTGTTCTTCCTGGGTCCTGAGGGGAGAAGCAGATTGGAGCTTGACTTGACTTTTTACAACAATGTTATGCTGTCTTAAGGTTTATTCTGTGCTCCGGCGGGTGGAAAAAGAGCTCTGGAGAGGGCTGCAGGATGCCTGCTCCTGATGGCCAGGAAAGCAGAACTATAAACAGTAGAATTCAACAGCAAGGAAAAAACCCAGCCCAATGACAATTCCATCTTAGCTATATTAGGTACAAAATGGTCACTTTACCAAAAAAACTTTCTTCAGCCTCTGGATTTTATTTTTCATCTCTGAACAATGCATGATTCATATTTGTCTTTCTACCCACTCTGCTGACTGTGAACAACCATCCACATGCCTAACAAAACAACTGTAACCTGTAAAATCTCATCTCCCTACAGAGCGGCCTCAATCGGACTGAAAGAACCACAATCGGGGAAACGGAATAGGAAACAGAGACCATTTGTCCCTCAATTTAGTTTTGTGCAAATTGCAGGGAAGGAGAGGCACAGAGAGAGAGAATTCTGCAGTGCTCCAAACTGCTTTTGCTACTGTCTCTGATGCGACCTATTGGAGATACATAACACTCCCCCCAGACCGTCCTAAGACAGTGTTTTTCAACCTTTCTGCAATTGTGAACCACTAAAGAAATGTTCAGAAAATTCAAGGACCATCCAGTTAAATAAACACCCTACTACTCTCTATGTTTTCATCTTTCAGAGCATGGGAGTTTGCATTTCTTTTGAAACTACTACAGTTGCATTGGTGGACACCTTCCCGTCCCCTCCATTTTTAAAGACTCTTTTAGCCTAAATATTGTATCAAAAGAAGTCATCCAAAATTATCTGAGGTGCCCCATGCCATACCAAATGTAGGACAAATGCCTTAGTCAAGAATGTTCTCTGAATTTTAAGGGGTGAAGGGCAAGGGGCTCTCCAGCCCAACGAAACCCAATTTCTAACTGATGTAACTTGTATTTGCATGTTTTTTGGGGCGGGGGAGAGGAGGCAGTTGTTTGTGTGGACCCCCAGTTGGTAAGAAGTCCTGGGTGCTTCAATGAATCAGTTTTCAGCCCTGATCTGTTCCTGCAAGTCAGCTAATAGTTGGCACACATGGGGAGGCAGGGTTGAGGGGGCAAGTGAACATCGGGAGTCTGTGCTGGACAATCTGGTGGACTTCTCCAGATTTAGTTATTTAACAAATGTATATGATCACCCATCTATCTAACGAAATTCTGGGCGAGATATGGACTAAAAAACATAACCGAACTCTATAACTCTCATATAAAATAAAACAGGGTCAAGGCCCCTGAAAAACACATTTGCAGCATGTCCACAAAAGCACAGCCACAGCAGAGCTCCATCCACACCCTGGCTCCAGTGCCCAGGGGAAGAAGGACCAGCCTTCACAGCTTTCTGGAAGGCCAACGGAGTTGGGGCTGTCCTTATCTTGGGGGGAGGTTGTTCCACAAGACAGGCACCATGACAGAGAAGGCACACTTCCTGGGGCCCACCAAGTGACACTACTTCACCAATGGAACCTGGAGCATGCATCCTCCACCAGAACTCATGGGATGGGCAGAAACCATTGGGGATAGGCAGTCCTGCAAATAATACTTTGCGATCACCCTCTGAGATGAACCCGGTCCCAGGAAAGAAAAAAAATGTTCCTGCTGACAATGGACATCCGAGACAGCATTCCAGCAACAGCCTTAACAGCACAGCTCTCAATTGCCCTGGCTTCTGGACAGCTGATCCTCAGCCAAGGAAACTTACCTCTGGCTCCTGCGTAGGGAAGAGCCAATGTCTGCTCCCGGGGGGACAGCCCCCGCGCGATGTCAGGGCGCAAGTTGACTTGCATCTGCTGGGAGGTGATGTAGTCGTTGAGGATGGTCTGCCGGGTGTTCTCCATGGCGTAGAGCTGGTATTGGCTGGGGTAGCCGGGTGTGGGCGAGAGCTGCCGCTGGAACATGTAGGCAGTTGCTGGGAGGGGGGAAGAAAAAAGAAGTTTGATGGCGAAATGGGACGCCATCAGTTTGAGGCTTAGACCAGGGCTGCAATTACAGCAATCCAATTCCTTCCTGGCCCAAAGTTCGCTGGCTGAATTGGTGGCAAACACCATCGCTCTCAGCCTCAACACGCCGAGTTGTCATCAAATGAGGATGGAACCATAATTAGAGGAAGAGAAAATGAGTCTGCCTCTGCCTCCTCTTCCTCCTCTTCGTTTCTTTTCCAGTTCTGCTCAGAAGATTCTACTCTTACGGGGGCCAGGCTGGGAACTCCCTTCAACAAAAGCGGGAAACGGTGCTTGCAAAAAACTTTGCAGCCCTTCCACAGGAGGGGGAGCAAGGGAGAATCAGGACAGACAAAAGGAGGTTGTTGTTGTTTTTACACAAATGCATAATTCAACTCTGGAATTTGCTATCACGAGATGTGGCGCTCAGCTGGCTTCAAAAAGGGTTGGACCCATCCACGGTAGCCCTGGGGATCCGGGGCTGTTAGTGGGACTGCCTCTGAAGGCCCTCTGCTGGGAGACCGGTGGGCTCCTTTGGACAGCTGATGGGAGAACAGACTGCTGGATGATATGGGCCAGGGATCCCCTCCAGCAGGCTATGGCTTAAATTCTGGAAGCCAAGCAGAGCTGAAAGAAGATGCTTCAGTGGCCCTGTGTCTGACGCAAGGATAAGAGGGCCAACATTGCCAGCAACTCTGTGCGCCTGCCTCTGTCTAAACGACCAAATCTTGTAAGTGTTTCATCTCCATATCTTAGGGCAGTATCAGTATCTTGGCATTTTCGTAAATAAATGAATGGGAGAGGGTTGCCTCCCAGCAATCATCTAGCACAGCTGACCATGAGCTAACTCTGCTGCATTCTGCTAAATAAAGTCTGGAATGGCTTTAAAAGGAAGAACTGACCCAAAAGAATCAGGCCCATTAATGGCTCTTTACTGTTTCAAACGGCCCCCGCCCTGTCAGCATCTGGGAAGGCCCTGAAGATGCGGCTCTTCACCCAGGCCTTTGGCGAGGACATCTGATGCCCCTTTTTTACGTTTCCCTTATTCCCATCTGGGCTGTTTTCTCTTCTCTTTTGTTTTGTGCTAAGTACTGCCCCTTTTTAAAAAATGTTTTTAACCATCTGTAAAGCACCTTGGGGTTGGGTGGCATATAAATTTGATATATTATTGTTATTGTTAGCTAAAAATGAAATCTCGGAGACAGGATAGCCAAGTACCTAATACAGGCTATTTTAACCATTTCCTTCAGGTAGTTTCTGGAAGCATCTGGCTGGCCAAGGTCAAATACAGGTAGTCCTCATTTAGTGACTGCCTCATTTAGTAACTGTTCACAGTTACGATGGTGATGAAAAAGTAACTTTGCGACTGATCCTCGTATTTACGACCTTCGCAGGTCTGTAAAGCAAAGGAAAGCTGAAGGAAGACTGTAAGCACAGTCGTGGTTTCACTTAGTGACCACTTTGACAATTGAGTAGCCGGTCCCATTTGTAGTCATTAAACAAGGACAATCTATACAGTAATCTACTCCCAAGGGCTATAATCCCACCATCTCAGGATCCTTGGCAATTGGTTCTGTTGATGGGTGAAGGGCTAGCGGGGATCCTCCTCAGCAGAGAAGCCAAAACAGATGTGCTCTAAAGCCCTATTCCTCAACTTTTTCCAGATGTGCTTGGCCTCCATTGCTCAGCATGGCCTTTGCCCATGCTGACTAAGATTTCTGAGGGTTGTAGAAAATCCAAGAAACTTGGAGGATAGATGGGTGGGTGAGGAAGGTGCTGAAAGGCAGGGAAAAAAATCCAACCCCCTCCCCAACATGATTTGCAAAATGCTTCTGACTGTAGAAAAGCAAAAAATGTACATACTGGGGTCCAAAGCTCTGTGGAACTGCATGGCTGGGTCCAGGTGAGGAGAAAGATGGCTCCTGTAAACCTCTGGAGCAGCCCCTCGGTGGTGGGGGTCAAACGGGCTGTGAGTCACCACAGGATCCACCCCTGGGACTGGAGATTTGGCGGGGACACTCTCCCGTTGCGTTGGCGTCAAAGTGGACTTCCTCTCGTGATTCAAGGGCTTTCCTGAAGGAAGGTTGCCTGCAGGGGAGACCCGGGTTCAGGTTAAGAGTTGGCTTATAGTTGTGGGAATGCAAGTGGCTTCTACGCCCCCCTTTTGCAGCTCCAAAACCAAGGTGGACCATGATTGGTGAAAAATGTTGGCTTAATTCCTTGCTGTTTTGAGTCGGAAGATTTTTCCATACACCCTAAGAACTGGCCTTGCCAAAAAAAAGAGATCCTCTCCCCAAAGTAATGAGAAAAGATGGGAAAAGCTGTGTCAATGGCTCCCCTCCTGCTGCGTTACTGTCCTGCCAGCTGGACCCTTGACCCCGAAAGGTGTTAAGTCCAGCCGTCAGATACTAAGAGGTCCCCCACCCCAAATTATAGGAGCTGTGGGAAGAAAAGGCGAGACTAAATCATGATTTTGATTTGACCCAGCACAGCTCTTCTAAAGTTCTGGAGCTGCAGAAGTGGAGTGCCACTGTATAAATGAAAATATCTCCACCACGCTAAGTTGGCTTCCAGGTGCAATTCAAGGTGCTGGTTACTCCCCTACACCCCTCATTTGCAGGATCACCCGTCTCTTGTTGCTTCTGCTACCTGGTGAGATTGGGCAGAGAGGGCACCCCTTGGGTCGTCTATCAGGACCTTGGAGGTGTGCCTTCTCTGTTGCGATGTCTGCCCTCTGGAACCCACTCTAATGACATTCAGAAAGTCACTGAAAACCTGGGTGTTCTCCCAGGTCTTGGGGCGGGTGGTAGTTGAGCCCCTGTGGGATGTTTTGTCTGTTATGGAGAGTTTGCCTTCTGGATCTCTTCATTTTTTTCATTGTTGCTCTTTTTTTAAGAGTAAGCTGCCTAGAATCGTTCGGAGATGGGCAGCCTCTAAATGGCATTAAAAGAATAAATCAATAAAGAGCCCAATAAAGGTTTATCGATGGGCAGGGCAAACAATGGGCAATTATATAAAAGATGCCAGTTTTTCCTGTATTCACTCCACCCCACCCTGAAGAACAGGCAGAAGAAAACCCACAATTCTGCCCTTTTAAAAATAAATTATTTGGTTTTAAAAAACCTATTTATCCTTTAAGGAATTGCAGTATTGGGGACTTAGAATCAAAGCAAAAAGAGACACAATTATTTTAACTCAAAAACGAAAAACAAAAACGTATCCAAGCATCTGTAATTGTAATCAGTCCCACCAAGTTCAGTGGACCCTGGACTAATTCCAGGCAAGGGTTAAAGGTCAGCAGAAGATAGGCTTTGAATGCAGCCGTGCCTGTTCCTAAAATGGAGCAAAGAACTAAGGCGTTCACGATTCTTTCAGGACTGGTAAGCTTTTCAGCATAAAGACGGACCCTGAGAACAAGGTCATGAAAATAGTCCTGCAGGAGCAGGCCTGGGCATATCTAGCCAGCATGCGGTCTTGCGTGGTGGGCCACCAGATGCATCTAGGAAGCCCCAAAGTAGGAAGTTAAGGCAGCCATCCTCTCCCATTGTCTCTCCTGGGCACCCGGTAGGTCAAGGCAGAGTGCTCCTGTTCCTGGAGGCAGTCACCAAGCCATAGACAGACCTGACCTCTAGGTCCCCTTCGGAAGCCATCAAAAGTAGTGGCCAATGACACATATTGTGGCAACATGTTCCATACACTGCTTAATTATGGGACAGGTTTTCTTGGCTGCTGTATCTATTCATTTTTTTGGTGCTGTATTGCACTTGTTTGAATTATTTTATGGTTGTTCACCACCCAGAGTTACTTGGCTGAGATGGGCGGCTATAGAAATTAAAATGAGTAAAAATGAAATACCGGTAGTCCCCGGGTTAAGAACGCCCGGTTTAAGGACGACCTATAGTTAAGAACGGAGCCTATTGTAGCAACATTCGAGTTAAATACACGATTCAAGTTAAATACACAATGGTTTGAGTTCATTACACAATACTACTTACGCAGCATTATACAATAATACTGTTCCGGCTTACGTACAAATTCGACTTAAGGACAGACCTTGGGAACAGAACTCGTTCTTAAACTGGGGACTCCCTGTAGTTCTAATATTATGGGAGATGGAAAAAAAACCCTACTCCCTGTTCAGCCTTTCTTTACTATGCATCGTGTTATAAACCTTGACCATGTCTCCTTGCAAGCATCTTTCTCCAAGCAATGCTGTCCCAACTGCTGAATCCCGTCCCCTTACAAGCCCACTCATCACCTTGGTTGCCCTTTTCTGCACCTTCACCAGCTTCCTGTGACATGTGGAGTTAGGTTCACACTGAACAGTCTGATAAATAAGCCACTGTTGGGTTCACACAATATGAACCAGAAGAAGGGCACTGTGTTTTTGTTTACTGCAGTGCTGGATCCCTGCTAGGCAGGCCAAGCTGACAGGGCTCTTTCGTGGCTAGGGCTGGGACATCTGGGTTCAAACCCCATTCAGCCAAGAAGCTCAGGATGATGCTGAGATTGTGTATATACCTTTTGTAGTTTTTAACTTGTATATTTTTTCTAAGATTTTATAGTTTTTTACTCGTAACGCTGCCTAGAGTCACTTGTACAGTGAGATGGGTGGCATGTATAAATTTTGAAAAACAAATAAATACATACATACATAAAAATTAGTTACTGTCTTCCTGAGCCTAACCTATCGCATAGCATGACTGTCACAATATAACAGAAGCTGTTTGTACCCATTTTGAAATACCTAAGAAAATAGGAATATAACTAATTATAGGCTTCCTTAGTTTCAGAGTCATAGCCGGTCAGGGGTCAATATCTGACTGGTGAGCTGATCCATTTTTTCCCTTGTCCAGCTGACTGTAATAGAGGCACCAAAGCCTCCAAGACAACATACCTTCTGCTGCTCGGTTCATCATGGGAGAACTTCTGGACATGCTCTGATAGCTCACAGGGGTCCTCCTTGCGTTGGTGTCCTCATAGATCCCGGGACTCACTTGGGACTTTGGAGCCTCGTGGAGTGTGGACCGTAGGACAGAGGGCCCTGAGCTGACCACCGAGGTGTGGCGAGAACGTATTTCTCCAGACTTGGCATCTTCGTGCTTCCCTCGCTCCACCACTTTCACGTTCTCAGGCACCATCTCCATGGGCGGCATTCCTCGCGATGACAGCTTGCTTGGGCCGGTGATCAAGGACTTGACGTTGTGTTTGATGGCCGACTGGCAAGAACTGCTTTCATACTTGATGGGTGTACCCTGGAGCAAGGAGGAGAACACGGCAAGTAGCACAGAAACCCAGCCCAGTCTTTGACAGCTGGTTCAATAAATCTCTGCATGCAGCTGGGCAGGTCACAGGAGCCAGATGGTCAATCAACCAAGAAGTCACCTTAAAAGGGGATCTGAGCTCCTGGGAAGAAGTCTTCAAGAGCTGGGTGAGAGCTGTAAAGCCTGCAGGGGCCTCTGCGTAGCCGCCCACCTCTTTTCTACTCCTCCCAGGTTGTACAGTTAACATCTGGCACTTATGTTCTGTCAGTGGGGTTTTTGGGTGTACTTTTTGTTTCTCCACCCTAAAAAAATGGCAGTAAAATAAGTCTTTTAACCCCCCCCCCAGTCACAATGGACATCTTTTCTGACACTGGCACTCCTGAAGAAAGGAAAAGTGAGAAAAAGAAAAATATGTCCACATTCCAGAACCGTTCTAGGACGGTCCACAGAGACTGGAAGCAATCAATAAAAGCTGCACCTTTCCGGCACCTCAAACAAATCAATGCCTAAGCTAATTCTGGGACCAGATTTGTGCTAGATGAGAATGTCTCTTCTTTTTTCTGAGTACAGGAATAATGGATTTAAGAGCGGTTAATAAAACACTAGAAATGTTAGGAAAAACTTCCTAAAAGAACTGTTGGGCAATGGAACCAATGATCCAGAGAGAAGGTGGACATCTCTTGTTGGATGTATTAGAGAATGGACAACTGTGTGTCTATCGCAGACAGACAGTCTGCTTTAATTTGGATGTTTGCCCTGAGTAGGGGTAATGGTCTGTGACCTCAACACTCTCTTCCAACTCTAAAATTCTAGGATTTGATGTTTCTCCAATAGCGTCAAGGTTTGCTTACCTGAGAGATGGAGCCCTCAATGATGGGCCGGACATTAGGAACTATTTCAGGGGTCTTCCGGCTTTCTTGATTCAACAGGTCCTGCCGGGGAATTTCATGGATGGAGCGCCCCATCTCCTTGATTGTGGTGACCCCATCATATGGTTTGCCCTTGGTGATGGCCCCCTCAAAAGTTCGCATGGGAGGAGACTCCCTCTTGATCTTTGGATACTTGAGTCCTATTTCGTAGTTCTCAGCAGTAGCTCGTGGGGTGCCTTGGTGGGAAACAGAGAATCAGAGGATTAATGGAGCTCTTGCAATTGGTCGGGCATATATCAGTGACTCCACACGGCTCATGTGTTCAGTCGGGCCTGTTTTATTTCATTTTCTTTTCATGGAAACAGTGAGGATAGTCCCTCTGGCCTAGATTTCAGCTCTGGGGATGGGAGATCCATACTGGCCCAAACTGAAGCACATCTTCCAGTGCAAATAGCTGAAGTAAGACCCCCAGTCCAGCCTGGAATTAAAGCAGATAGATGGAGCTCAGTAATGTCTGGAACTCCACACTAGTAGGACTTAATGTTAAGAAAGGGCAGCAATCTCATGAGATCCCCAAATGTCACAAGATTTTAATTTTCTTGAAGAAGATTGCTAATACCTTAGATGGGGGCCATTCTGAAAATGCTGGGTTTTTTTTTTTTTTTGGCCCGCGTCAGCTGAAAGATTGCACAACGTTGCCCCAAAGGTTGGAAACTCTTGGGGTAAGAAATTAAACCCCTTAGATTCCATCTATTGGACCTAAAATTAAGTTAGGTCCCCTGTGCTTATCATTCCTTAAAAAAAAAATACACATCTGAATGCTGTTTGTGTCTAGCTATCTTTTAAAATGAAAAGCATAAAAATAAAATAAAATAAAATAAAATAAAATAAAATAAAATAAAATAAAATAAAATAAAAGAAAAGAAAAGAAAAGAAAAGAAAAGAAAAGAAAAGAAAAGAAAAAACAGAAGACAGGTAGATAGCTGTAGCAGCTGACATTTTTATACATGGGAAGCAAACCCACCCTACCACAGCCCTAGCCCTCCATGTATTTGTTTTCATTTATGCAGCTGTAAAAAAGGCACGCTGTTCAGTTCATAATGTTTAGTAGGAGCTCTGGCAGAAGAACTTGCTGTTCTTTGCTATTTTGGGTGAAGATTTTTTTAAAGAGGGAATACAAATGGGACAATTTTAGAGACTGCTCTTTTCCGGCATAATTTTGGTTGTTGCAAACTCACCATTTAAGATGACAAGTCTCCCCAAGGACGCTGTGGGCATTTCCTGGTACACAGTTAGGAGAGAAGAGAGAGGGAGGAAAAAAAGGGGGGGTTGGTCTTTTCCCTACCTTGCATTATGGAGCCTGACAGCACGGTCCTCTCCTTCATATCGGAGTGGGGGCTGCCCTGAGGCACCGCCCGGCAGATTAACCCTAAAGGACAGAAGGGAAGCCACTGAAAACAGCACTCTCCCAGTCTCAATTACACCTGCTATGATACTTCTTGCATTTTAACAAGTCTCCAAGGAAGAAAACACAGTACAGATACACCTATCCTGCAAAGAGGCTTTGAAGGTTTGCTTCATCAAAGAACCATCCAGCGTCTGTAAACCTTCAGCCACAAAGACCGGCCAGCTCAGACAAACCCCCAGAGTAGCCACTAACCTTGGGGGTGTGACTGAATTCTGAGATGCCCTGCACGGCGCAGGTCAAACAGGAATGTTGGAAACATCCATGGATGGAGCCCAGATCAGTCCAGCTGGTATTGGCTTGGCCACCCCAGAAGGAGGCAACCTTGGTGTCTCCCAGATGGGTTAGACTTGAAACTCTCTCTGCCTCCATAAGCCAGACTGACAAGGGATTGTGGGATTTGTAGTTTACAATACTAGGAAAGCAACACATGGACTGCTCTTGGTCAGCACTGACTGACCCATCTTTCCATGGTCTGAGGCAGTGAGGGTTTTTTCCCTAACAGGAGATACCAAGACCACAGGCAGGACTTCTTGCACTTATGTAGACAGTTTTCAAGTCAGTATTTCTCTGCATGATCTAAGGGCTCCCTAGAACTTATTCATGATGGCCATGGGAGATAGGTTTTCAGCCATTCCTGATCACCTAGTCGTGGAGGAACTGCAACACTTTCCAGAATACAATCTGGAATTCAGCACTTTAGAAGATCAGTTAAATATGACATCTCTCTCTCACTCACGTTAACTATTCAGAAGACATCTCTTTCTTGCACCAATACCCAGATTCCTCAACCTGGTGTCTTCCAGATGCACTGGATTTCAAATCCTATCACTCCAGCTAGCTTGGTTGATGGTCCTCCTAAGGCCAAACTTTTTCACATCTAAATTATTACACAACCTTTTAAACAACCGTTGATGAAGTATCTCCTGGAAAACTGATATTCATTCCCTAAGGCAACGGGTGGAAACTTTTTGGCAATACTGTAGGATTCCCACCCCATCACAAAAAACCCAGCCCAAATCTCATGATATTTCAGGTTTTCTCTTTTAAGCTGCCTTTTTAGTTTGGGGTATCTGGGAATACTGCCTGGGGTACTGTATCACCCACTCCCTGCCTTAAGAGATGAAAGAACCGAAACCCGCCAGCCGTGTTTACCTTCTAAAGGTGCCGAGACAGGAGATTCTCTCATTGACATTCCCTGTTTGATATTTCCTTCCATGGCTTCATACGTCCTTTTCAGGCCCATCTCATGAGCAGTCCTTGGGCTCCGGGTTCCCTCCCGGACATTCTTAATGGCTGTTGAGAAACAGCAGAACTCAATAGAAACACTTGGATTTTCCTAGGCAGATGGAAATGGGGATAATTTTCCTTGCCCGGATCTGGTGGTGGATCTCACCCAAGTAGCACATGGGGGTTTGAGCACTGAGGACTCACCATCATAGGTGATGATGTGCCCGCTCTTGCCCTCATAAATGACGTGGCCTTTGGAGGCTCCAGCCTCCTCCCGGCCCTTCTCCGGGCTGCTGTCCTCTGTGGCCAGCCGGGTGATTGTTCCCTTCAGCAAGACATCAGCTGGAATCCCAGGCTGCGGCAGGGCTGGCGTTCCCTGCAGGGGAAACATGTTTTATGAAGCTTCCTTTTAAAGGACTAACTGGGGAGAGGGGGCATCTGTCTCTGAGGAAGTGCGCTGAATCAGAGAGGAATGACTCCAGAGGATTCACGTCACTTGCATGGTGACATCATAACAACAAATGGCAAAAGACAGAGTGGAATTCTGGCCCTCTGTGTGCAAAGTCTGTTGTTTCAAAGGCTGGTAAAATGAAGTTTTCCCATAAGGAGAAAGGTAGGTGCTGAACGAAGGGTGAAGGTGGATGGAGTAGAAGGTTAAGGGGTTGAGAGAGAGCAGAGGAGAGAGGGGGGAACGGATGCTAACTTTGCAATGGAGGCATACTGCAAAGAGATAAAATAAGGAGAACTTTAACTATACAACATTAGCTCACTTAGGGGGTTATTGTTGCAACTGGGCTACAGAGAGGGGGAAAAACCATGCTCTGCGTATCTTCCTACGCTCGTCAGCCTACAGAATAACTAGTATGGAGAAGGAATTCTAGAAAGCTTTAAATACAATTTAACGGACTTCAGTTTAGTGGCCTCTGGATGTGACAACATGGGGGCCATCCCCAAATAACAGGCAAGTCCACTAGATTCAAAGTAGTTTGGACAATTCATGAAAATTCATATGGTTTGCATTGCGATGCAAATGACATAATTTGCGTGGTTCTTATCAACGTTCATTCTGATTTAATGGATGTTTGGATTCAACAGACACCCCCTTTCCCCTGAATGTCTACTGAATCAATGTTTTATCCTCACGTGCTTCTGGTTCACTTCTGTATCCTCAGATTCTACCGAGTGTGGAGATTATTATCATTATTATTTTCTGGCTAGACACCGAGGCCCAAAGCGGGAATGAACTGATGCTGAGAAAGATGAGGGAGAATCCCTCCCCCTTTCTGCTGACAAACACACCCGTTGCTCCAGAAAGTACAGTTGAACAAATCACCGAAGATGCTGAGGCAATGGAAGGATCAGAGCCCAAATGACACTAGGCAAGAATACCTGAGTGATGGACCCTCGCAAGGCTGGCATCGCTTCCATGGAAACTTTGCTGGCGGGGGTCCCTCGGGTGATACTCCCTTCCTGGATGGTGGCTGTACCTGATGGGAAGCAGAAGAGGGGAGGGTGGTGGTGAGGTACCTGCTGATGCCATACAACCGGGTATGATCACACAGAAGGCGATCGCCACCCCATTTCAGATCCCTCCGCTTTCTGAGAGACGCAGCCTGCACAAAGAAAACGGTGCAGTGTGGACAGAGACAAAGAGACCCCCAGGAACTTAAAGAGGTGGAAATCCCCCGGGCATAGTAACAGTTTTAAAAATGTAGGAAAACAGAACAAGGTGCACACATGAGCACATAGGCAAGGAGACACCACTGGAATTAATTTTAAAAATCGTGAGCCAATCATCAGATAAATTTAAGCCCAGGCAAAGCTGTCTTCCTGTCTGTCCCTCAGCTCACCTCAATACTGGGCGACTGTAACGTGCTCTAGGTCGGCCTGACCCAGAAAAGTCCACGAGCACAAATCTCAGCAAGCAGCTTGGTCTCTGGAAGGACTTGGGAGGCCTTATCACTCCTATTCTGCAGGAATCAAATTGGCTCCCAACTGGTTTCCAGGCACAATATAAAATGCCGGTTATTCTCACCTTAAAGCCTGACCTGGCTTGGGAAAGAGGCTTTTTCTATACCATCCTTTCCCAACCAGATGGCTGGACCTTAATTCCCAGAATTCTCAGCAGCGGCCATGCTGGCTGGAGAAGTTGGGCAGTCAAAGTCCACACACCTTGCTCAGGAAGGTCAAAACGGTTCTATCTGACTTCTCCCCACCCTCCCCTGAGGTCATCTGAGTAAGTTGCCCTACAAGGTCATTTGACAAACCATTTATGGTGGAGCCTTCACTGAAGCTGGCCCAAATCTCCCCACGGAATTGGATCTTTTTTTGAACAGGGTTTTAATTGCTGGAGATTTTAGTTCATCTTTAAAATACACAGTTTTAATTTGGCTTTGTAGTTCTACCGTAACCTGCCAAGGGATACTGGCAGTCCATGGTGATAAAAATATTTGAAATCGGGCCCCTGAAAGGCGGTTTGGCATTATTGAATTCTGACAGCCTATTTGTGGAGGCAGAGCTGAAAAACTGGGGCTGGGGGAACAGGATGAAGTTAAAGACCGGCTAACCCAATCTCAAGGATGCAGATTTGCTTCTTCAATTCAAGCTCTGCTTACCTCGAACGACTCCCTCGTGTTGAGCTCTTACCAACAGGCCTTCGGGCTGCGAATTCTGGCTCCGGGGAGAAAACTCTTCTTGCTTGATGTAGGGCAGGGAAGCTTCAGACAAGGCAGGGAGGAATGTTTAAGCAACACACTGCCCACTCCGAACCATTTCACCTCACACAGTCCCAGAGCATCCAAGCACCCCTGTGTTGGATCTTGGCTAGGGGTCCGCGCTCCAAAACCCTAACCCTAACCGAGGCACAGGCCTGCCCAGAAAGCCAGCTTTCCACCTCAGAAGCATCACCCACGTCTGGCCTGGCTTTCGAAGGCCCAGGCGCCCACCAGTCCCTGCGTAGAAGGCAAGGCCGATCCGCAATGATTTACCTGACTTGGAATCCTGCTGCCTGGGCAGGCCGAGGGAAATGGATCCGCCAGATGGCTTGGCTGGTTCCTGGCTGTAAGAACTCTGGCCGTGGGACAGATAAGTGCCCGGTGTTCCCTACAAGTGGGAGGAAAAGACATTTTGGGAGGCGGCATAATTATGTGACCATACAAGCCGAAGCTGGGATGAATGAGCCTGCAGTAATGGGGGTAGGTAAGTAGAGAAGCCCCACAGATGGGTCGCACACGGAAAGGGTTGCAAATGACGCTGTACCAAGCGCACGCGTGATGGCCTTAATTTCCGTCAACACGCGTGTTGGCTGTTGGTCGCCTGGGCTGGGAACTCTGGTGCTTGAAATCCAACTTGTCCTGAAGACACCAATTTTGGTACAGACTGTATGTATGAAGAGCAATCTGAATTCTCCAAATTGGCATCTGCTGCACACAGACCAGGGGAAAATCAAGGTTTTCCAGAGGAAAAGCCGACCTGGGGCAGGGGGAGCCGTTTCCAAGAAGAGCCAAAGAGGAGGACGCATGTTCAGGAGCCACATAGTAGTGACAGCCGTGAGCAGAACAGGAAAAGAGAAACAGAACTGGTGCTCTCTTCATCGTGGTATTTGCCAGCTGGGTTTGCACAACCCACTAAATCAGGTTTAGAGAAGCACAACTGCTACGTCCCCCTATCAGGAAATTCCCAAACAGTGAGCTACAAGGGGAGGGCAACCAGCAGCCCCTGGCACCCCGAGACCGCACGGCCAAAATTCAGCTGCAAAGCAGCCCAATTTAGGGCGGCAATTTTCTTGATGAGTTTGACCAAATTAGCCCAAACCCCTGAATGGCCTGAAGTGGCAATTTAGGGCCCAATTTCAGCCAATTGCAGGGGGGAAGGGAAGGTTAAGGGCTCACTGTCTCATGACCTCCCATCTGGATGACAGCAATGCGGTCTAAGAGTGGCTGCCGTTGACAGGCATTCAGAGGCTTCGACTAGCGCAGAATGCGGCTGCGTGGGTAGTAGGTGGCGCATGTAACACCTCTACTCCGTGAGCTGCATCAGTTGCCCGTGTGTTTCCGGGTGCAACTCAAGGTGCTGGATGGCACCTTTAAAGCCCTGCATGGTTTGGGACTGGGTTACTAGACTTGGTCTTCTCCCAACTGTTTCTATCTGTCCGATTCAGTCCGGCAGGATGGGCGTGATTCGGGTCCTGTCAGCCAAGGAATGTCGGCTGGTGGGACTAGAGACACGCCTTCTCTGCCGTGGCCCCCGCCCTCTGGAACAACCTCCCTCCGGACATTGGGATGGCCTTGACCTTGTTGGCCTTTCGTAAGGCCGTGAAGACCTGGCTCTGGGCAGAAGGCTGTTCTTATACATGATTACTGCTGCGAGACTACTACATGTGCAAAAATGGAAAGACTCTGAAATATCTGCAGTGGAGGAAGGGTTGGTGAAGATAACAGAACTAGTAGAGATGGCAAAATTAACTTCTTTGCTCAGAGAAAGATCAACTACTACATTTATTGGTGACTGGAAAAATAAACTTGTGATTTTTGGATTTGATGATTAGAAAGGGTAGATTATGGAAAGAAGGAAATTGTGATGTAACCTCAGAGAGAGAGGGCAAGATATAAATGCATTTATAAGAGCTGTTAAGAAGATCAGAAGCCAGTTCTTTGTAACTTTTTCTTTTCTTTTCTCCTTCTTTTCTACGTCTTTGTTTTTATTTCTTTTTCCGCTTACTTTTTTCTTTTCTTTATTCTTACTTAAAATTTGTACTGCTTTTATTCTGTTGAAAACCTCTTTAATAAAAATTATATATAAAAAAAGACCTGGCTCTGTGCCCAGGCTTGGGACCCCAAGTGTGTGCAGGGACCAATTTCTTGATTATATTAGTGATTATGATGTAGGATTTATTCTCAGCTGCTACGTATTTTAATTTTTATATTGCTGTAATTGTTTTCATTTTATTTTTAATTTGGTTCGCTGCCCAGAGTCACTTGTTGAGATGGGCGGCCATACAAATTGAATAAATAAATAAATAATAAATAAGAGAGAGAACAGGAGCAGGTCTTTTTTGGGGGGGCAGCAAACCATTCCCCACTGTAAACCCTCCCAAATCCTGGCAAACAGTCTAAAATTGGCCACCAAAATGTTAATCTGGGGATGTTTTACAGGTGTGTGTGAATCTTAAAGCATAGGAACGAAAGCAGTTTGCTTTCTAGAGACCTCCTGCTCCCCCCCCACAACAAAACCAGGTAAAAACCCCAAATGGACACCTCATCATCAGAGGCCATCTCTGATTCTTTGGAAGGTCAGGTCAGGAAGCTGAGATGTGGCCTTCAGCTTCCCAAATAATGCGGCCCAACCCTGGCATAAGCACTGCCCTAGGGCTTCCCACAATGCACTGATCCACAACTACCCAACCCATGTTAGCCAGGCTTCACATGTTGTGTGGACCCAGCCAATCTAGACAAGGAGCCAAACATACACAGCCATGACCACAACAGACAGCGTCTCCTTATGGAGCTTGCAGGTTTTCCATCTCTGGAACCTTTTAAGAAGAGCCACCTCTTCGGGATGGTTGAATGGGTAGTCCTGCAAATGTTAGACTAGATCAGGGTTTCTCAACCTCAGCAACTTGAAGATATGTGGACTTCAACTCCCAGAATTCCCCAGCCACCCTGCTGACTGGGGGAATTCTGGGAATTGAAGTCCACACTTCTTCAAGTTGGTAAGGTTGAGAAACCCTGGACTAGATGTCCTTGGGGTCCTTCCCACTCCAGAATTCTAGGATTCTACGTGCCTTACATCCTACCTTGAGCTTCTGTCCTGGGGTAGACCTACCGATACAAATAAAACCTGTTTCTCCTTTCTCCTTACTTGCGAAATGGAGCCTCCCATGATGAAGGACGGTTTCTCCGAAGGCACCACCGTTTTGGAGGATGGAATCAGAGGTGGGGGAGGCCTCGTGGGCCGTGTTGGTGGGGGTCGGACCCCTTCAGGGAGATTCGTGATGACTTGATGGGGAGCTGGCTGGAGGACTTGGGAGAGGGGAAAGTAGACGTAGAATAAATTGTGAGTCCTTGGCCACTGCTGCTGCTACACAAAAGCCGGCAAGGGAAATGGGTGGGCGCTAGAGTTACCTGGCGGGACGCTGTAGCGGGTGGCGTTCATGTCCGGTTGTGGAGAAGCCTTGTTCACCTCCCGTGGAGACAGGCGATAGGGTGAGCCTGATCTGGCCACTGCGTTTTGCATCTGGGCTTCCTGATCCATGGCACGCTTTACTTCAGCGTAAGGCATATAGGCAACTGTCTTTGCTGGGAAGAGGAAAGGCACAGCACTGGTTAAGTGAGGGGAATCACACAGAAAGAGAACATTCTCAAAAACCAGAGTATCGGGGTGTCAGCAGGTCACTGATGGACCAGAAATTTGGGGTTATATGACCACGGAAGGCATCCCTGCAGCATGAAATGAAGACAAGAGAGATTCACTATGTAGGACAGATCTTTTAACTCCTAGCAGCAGTGAAAAGTACATGGAGCCTCCATATTCGGAGACAATACGTGTTTGTGTAGCAGGAATAAAAAAGATACACTCACTCCTTTAAAAAAAAAAAGAGAGAGAACTTCACTGCAAAATTTGGAGAAGCATGAAGTGGAAGAATATGTTTCCATTCATACCTTGATTTGAAAGCCCAAGGGAAATTCACATTATAACATGAATAATTTCTCCACCTAACCCAGCGTTTTTCAAACTTGGCAACTGTGCAACACACCTTAAAGTTGCCAAGTTTGAAAAACACTGATCTAGCCTTCATATGCTTTGTCAAAGCCGCCCCACCGCTGGCAAGACCAAGGAAGTCAGAACTGCATAGCCCTCAGCGAGGTGCCTTTAAGCTAAGCTGACAAGGGTCTTGCCTTCCATCCTTTGACCACTTATGTCTCCTCTCCTCTCCTCTCCTCTCCTCTCCTCTCCCTTCCAATCCTTTCCCAGTCATCCTATAACCCAGTGTTTCTCAACCTTGGGAACTTGAAGATGCGTGGACTTCGACTCCCAGAATTCTGGGAGTAAAAGTCCACGCATCTTCAAGTTCCCAAGGTTGAGAAACACTGCCATAACCTCTCACACGCATACTTAGGTAATTAATGTTTATACAGAATGACTGTGCTAAGAGTAGTAGTAAACTCAAGGAAGGAAGGGAGATAGAGAAAGTCTTCTACTTGGCAAGATGCCCTACAAGATCTACTTGCAAGGCCAACACACATATAACCTATGTTCTTTCTCTCGTTTTCTCTCTCCCACAGAGAGACAAACACACAAACACACACATATATAGGGTAAACCGATTCAACAGGTCCATGAAAAGGAAGGTATGGTTGAGCAGGAGTCTAAATAGCCTGTGTCAAAAACAAATAGCAAAATCAATTCTTAACCTTGGGGGTTAACTAACAGTCCCTGTGTTATTTTATTAAAAGACAGAAAGGGGCTGCCAACCCACCCCCCAGACAGCCCCTTGCCTCCCACTCTGGGCCAAAAGAAAAGAGTGTGGGAGAATTAATCCACAAGCCCAAGCCATTTCTGGGCCATCCACTTTGGCCACGTGCCCAAGGACACCGGGCAGCCTGTATACATGTGCCAAGAAGGATGCGGCAAAGGCTAACATGGGACTTGTGTGGGCTTGGCGTTGGTGGGGGGGGAGGTGGGCAGTAGTGGAGTCTGTTTAAAGGGCATAGCTCCTTGAAATGACAGGGTGGGCAGGCTGTCTTCAGCAAAAGGGAAGGGAGATAAGAGAAAAGGCAGCTGCCGTTTCAAGAAGGTGACCCTGTTCCTCCCCATTAGCTGGATGAGGACCAATAGCCACTGAAGATATTTAAATCGGTAGCCATCCCCACATCCAGTGGCAGAGAGTTCCGCAGGTGAACCCGATTTTGTGTAAAAGGCCCCTTCCTGGTATTGCTGTTGACTCTTCCTGAGTGTTATTCCAACGAACGACCTTGGGCTGCGACACCGTGAAAGAGCACAAGAAAATCTCTCTGCCTACCAGATAGTCTGCAACGTGTATTGGTTTCACACGTTCTACCAAGTTTGCCACTTTCTCTACCTACTTCTCTACACTCGGCAGGGGGATTCCAAGGATAAAACAAGGGTGGGGGCGGGGGCTGGGGAATTCTGGGAGTTGAAGTCCACATGTCTTAAAGCGGCCAAGTTTGAGAAACACTAGTCTAAGCAAACAGATTACCGTACTGATTTGAAAAGAAGGGGACCCTGAATTTAAGATGATCCCCCACAAAAGAATAGCAGAGAGAAAAGAAAAGGTACAAAGCAGCAGAAATCCTGTGTAATGTGCAGCCCAGCTTCCCCACTATGTTTCATAAATGCCCGTACTGCATTTAATTATAAGGGCGTGGTAAATAAAACTACTTGAGCATGAAACTGAGCAAACTCAGGGAGGCAGTGAAGGACAGGAAGGCCTGGCGCAATATGGCGTGGTAAATAAAACTACTTGAGCATGAAACTGAGCAAACTCAGGGAGGCAGTGAAGGACAGGAAGGCCTGGCGCAATATGGCGTGGTAAATAAAACTACTTGAGCATGAAACTGAGCAAACTCAGGGAGGCAGTGAAGGACAGGAAGGCCTGGCGCAATATGGTTCATGGGGTCACGAAGAGTCGGACACGACTTAACGACTAAACAACAACAACAACAAAAATAAAACTACTACCACTAATAATACAGTTCTAATTTACAGGCAAAACTGAGCCAAATGGGCCAAGGAGAATGATGGTGCCCTAGACTTATGCTGGGGGAGGAGAATACCCCTGCAGTCGCTTAGATGCCTGGCTCCAAACATGGTTTAAGCACCATGCTGGCATGGAGCAAGCCCCTGCGCCATGTGCCCCCTTGCCCAGTTCTTTTCCTATTTTTAGAACAGCTTCTCTCCTTGCTGTTCTCCCTGCCTTTGGCTGCTGCACAACTCCTGCTGGGTTCTGCTGGCACGTGCCCTTGGCACCCACATTTTTCCATGCCGCACCGTGAGGCTGAGACTTGAGGCGTGTTGTTCGAGCTCCATCGAACCACCGGGGCCGACTGCAAATCAAAGCTCACGCTACATCCCCGTCTTGCTTCAGAGTTGTGACCGGTGCCTGCCCAAGACGCAGCCGAGGGAAGGAAGCCTGTGACACACACTTGTTGGACCTCATGCTCCTTAAATGAAACTCCTGAGATTGCCCCCCACCCCAACACCTCTCCTTTCCTGTCTTCTGGGGGAGGGACAGACCAGATGTTTTACAGAACCTCACCATCAAAGCCATCTTTGCAGTCCCTCTCCCCATCCAGACCTTCAAGGTCCCTGCCTGATTCCCCCAACACACCTCCTTTTCCTCCCAAAGCATAAGACAAACCCCGCATCTTCTTCCCTTAGGAACCTGTTGCCCCCAAATCAAGCATCTTTGGGTTTCTCTAGGTGCTCTGCTTCACTGAAAATGCCTGCAGAACTGCACCTAGAGAAACCCAAGGATGCTCCGTTTGGGGGCAACACATTGGAAAGCCCCTCAGCGCTTTCATTTCAACTCCCCCGAGAGTCTGTCCCACTCAGCTTATCTCCTTGATCAAGCCCAACTGAACCAAGCCCTGGAAATCCCCATTCAGTACCCAGCACTTTCAGTTCAAGAAGGATTGCACAATCCTCCACCTGCCTGTGGACCCACCCCCATTTTAATGCCACCTCCAACATGGCAAACCAGCCGATGGTTGGAGCAGCTGCTTGCTGTTTCTCCACACAGTGCTAAAGTAGGTCTGGTAAGTTGAACAAACGTATTTTACTGAAAATAAAGTCACAACCCCGTGCAAAGAAGGCCCCCGTTTGATTCAACACTACCCCCTATGGAGGAATGGTTGGTGACACTGACAGATCTTGCTGAGATGGATAAACTATCTTTTTTTGATAAGAGAAAAGACACTATTTATATTACCAGTGACTGGAAACCTCTAATGGACTTTTTGCGTAAAAATGAAAAAAAAAATGAACTTGTGATTTATGGTTTTGATGATTACGAGGATAGATTATAAAAAGAAAGAGTATTATGATGTAACTTTAGAAAGGGAGGTTAAATATATTTTATGCTGTGAAGAATATCGGAAGCCACCTCTTTGTACCTTTTCTCTTTCCTTTCTATTCTTAACTTTTTTCTTTTCTTGCAGTTTTGGCTTTCTTTCTTTTTCTCTCTTCTTTTCTTTATATTAGCTTGTATTAGTTTTTATCTTCTTTTAAAAGTTTTAATAAAAATTACATATGTGTGTGTGTGTGCCTGTTTATAAAAAGCAAAAACAAAACAGGCCCCCAATTCCATCAGCACCCTGTGGACTAGCAATGTCACTGCCACAGCCTCTACGCAGATTTTCATTCACCTCCCCACACTTTCAAAGAACCAACGAAGCCAGCATGCCGAGCCCCCAGCAGCTGTAATGCACGCATTTCCCCAAATTCTCAATGCAAAAGAATAATGAGGAGGAGGAGGAGGAGGAGGAGGAGTTCAAAAATTCATGCGCCACTTTATCAGCAGGATCACCCTTTAGGCCAGTGTGTCTCAACCTTGGCCACTTTAAGACGTGTGGACTTCAACTCCCAGAATTCCCCAGCCAGCCA